CCTCCCTCCTCCCTCCTCCCTCCTCCCTCCTCCCTCCTCCCCTCCTCCCCTCCTCCCCTCCTCCCCTCCTCCCCTCCTCCCCTCTCCCCTCTCCCTCCCCTCCTCGCCTCTCCCTCCTTGCTCTCCTCCTGTTGCTTCCACCCTCTTTCCCCCCCCCCCTCTCCTTCCTCCCCCCACCTTGAGGAACTTCCACACATGCCCATAGTTCCAGTCGATGATGGGGTTCACCTGCTCCAACTGAACTTGCAGAAGAAACAAGTAAAGATGTTCTCACCCTCATAAAAGGAGGCATGTAGGCAGATGATGGGGAAAAGCTACATGTCGAATTTCAGAAACACGAAGCAAGCAACATCATCAGCCCTACTCATCATCATCATCACCACCACAACCTCTAAAACCATGAACAACCCTCTCTATCTTCATCGTCATCATATTCATCATCGTCGTCATGATGACTATCACCACCACCACCACCACCACCACCACCACCACCATCATCATCATCATCATCATCATCATCATCATCATCATCATCATCATCATCATCATCATCATCATCATCATCATCATCATCATCAGAATGATAATCATCTTCCAACCTTGATTGATCACCACAGTTTGGATCTCCTTGTCTGGTCCCAAGAACAAATGCCATCGGCTTTGAGCTGAGACAAAGCAGACAAGAAACTCTGTCAGAACACACAACAGAAAACTTTCGTGTTGAGTAGAAGGAGGAAGAGGACGAGGACGAGGACGAGGACGAGGACGAGGACGAGGACGAGGACGAGACGAGGACGAGGACGAGGACGAGGACGAGGATTTGAAGATAGGTTAGAATGTGTAGGAACACAGAAACATGCCGACAGAGAGGAAGAGGATAAAGGAACACAAGTCAAAAGATCACCATGAATCAACAAGCTCGATTAACGAGCCTTTGATCCCCTTGCCGCATCTGCAAGACATTCCTCACATCACCGAGAACGGAGAGGATTCTGAAATCTGATGACTACACTGACCTCAACAACTCAAGGTCATACTGTTCAATCACATTCTCAACATGTTGACATATCTGGAGACAACGTTATATGCTTGGAGGAGATGATAAATCAATATTCCTCTGGGAATTCTTTTGGGTTCTCAAAATAAACCATTCGCGGCCTCTATGTTTTTGTTGTCAGAAAAAACAAATGATAGAAATCAAGAGAAGCAAGGGCCAAGAATCAGCAAACGATAGGCGTACAGGAAAGTGGGCGGAGGCAGGAAGAAAAAAGGAAGTAAGAAAGAAGGAGGAGGGAGGAGGGAGGAGGGAGGAGGGAGGGAGGAGGGAGGGAGGAGGGAGGAGGGAGGGAGGAGGAGGGAGGAGGAGGGAGGAGGAAATGAGGAAACAAATGAAAAGGAAGGAAGAAAGAAAAGAGTGAAGGAAAAGCAAGACACGAAGGAAGGGGATGCAAGTGGAACAACCAAATAACATTTCCCTCACATGGTGTGTATTCGTATCATTGCAATACTTTGCACTTGCTGCCCTCATCAGGTGCAAGATCACATCAGCGTCCTGTTTGTCTCCCCATCAGTCTCCCAACAGCACACGTTGAACTCAGCAGCACCTTCCCGCCATTGAAGGAGACTAGGTTGAACTCTGGACCAAAGAGACGGAGAGAGTCCTAGAGGAGGAAAGAGCAGTGAGCCAGTCCCACCAACGTCAGTCGGATGGTTTGAGTTCATACCATGAGTGTAGTCAGTGCAAGCTCAATCTTAACGCGCAAGTCTTCGTCCCCACAGCTCATGATATCTTCGTGCTGCCTTATCAGCCATGGTGCGCAGAGCTTCCCTTGTGCACCTTGGTAGAACCTGACGTCTCGTCGCAGAGTCTGCTCCGATGCTTCCGCTAAGATCATGGTCAGGCGGCAAGACGAGTAGTTCCTCCCCTCTTGCACCTGCTGCCGACATGGAAACCTTGGAGCGACGATGCATGGACAGAGGTCGAAGATGGGACAGCATCCTGGTGAAAGGCAGACATGCTGTTGCCTGAGCGCAAAGGGGAAAACTCTTGCACTGTCACGTCAGAAAGCAGGACATGAAGAACAGAGTTTGAATCACCCTCATCGAAGGAAAGCATGTCCAGCCGTCAACCCTGAGCAGCACATGGATCAGAGGCCGGCTTCTTCGATGCAAGAGCTCCTCCAGCAGTACTCTATTCTGTCATGCTCGGTTCTGTATCAAACTCTCTTCCTCCTCTTACATAGCTCTGCTCTTTCATGCTCCCTTCCTATTCCTCTCCCTCCCCTTCCCTTACATGGAGGGCTCGAGTGCCGCCATCGCCGCCACCAGCAGCAGCCGCTGCCATGTCAGTGTAGACCTCATGAACAGCGACAAGGACCCCACAACTTTGAAACTTTTCGGATTCTCAACTTTCACTCAAAGTTCCACCCGGCCCTCGATAGAGTCACGGGGCCGGGCCCGGGCCCGGGCCCGGCCTCACCGTGGCACTGCTCACTGCCGGGGCCTCAGACTCGGAGGAGGCTGGATCCGAGTAACAGTAGTAACTGTCTTCTTTACTCAAAGTTAAGTTGAAAAAGAGACTTTTCTCTTATCGCCCTACCGTGGCAGTCACCCGAGACCCACTGGGCGGCCACCGTCACTGCGGCCCGTAGGCTCAGTCCGGGTTCTTTCTTAGATCCGTGGTACGTACTTTACTTGAACTAAAACACTTAATGGCAACTTAGGCAAAACTGGTCAACGTCTAGTACTTCAACCGTCAAAGTCGGTAGTAGTCGACCACACGCACTCTTTGAACGCAGAACATGATCACAACTGCTGCTCCTACTAGTCCTCAGCAAATCTCTTTATTGTGGGATACCAAGAGCGGCCTGATAGCCCCAAGGGACGAACTTTTTCCTGCTCATGCGACAGCTCATGTCAGGCAGAGGTGTGATGTACACTCGTCACGACGTACCACGACTCGTCGAAGACGTAGCAGAAAGCATCTTGAGCCTGCAGAAGAGAGGGAGAAGGAGTGGGAGAAGGGGGGGGGGGGGGGGGGGGAGAAAAAAAACTCAAAAACCCCCCCCCCATCCCGTCAGGGGGGGGTACCGGGGCCAACCCAGTAGGTCCCCCAACAATCTCACACATCCAAACTTGGTTTTGGTGGGTCATTTTGGCTCCAAAACCCCCTGGGACAAAAAGACCCATCACCCCTACGGACCGAGGCAGCTCGCTCCTGTTCTCACTGACCTGTGAAGAAGCTCCCCGGAGCTTGCATGGCAAGGTCCTTCCAAGTTGTGGTGATGGCACACTGCGAGATGGCATAGGGCGTCACCGTTGAAGACAGGACAGGACAGAAGCTAAGCAGAGGGCAGGGGAAGTGAGAAGTAGGAAGAATACGAGGAGAGGAGAGGAGAGATTAGGAAAGAGGACAGGACAGGACAGGACAGGACAGGACAGGACAGGACAGGAGAATTTCATCCCTTTCCGCCAGTTTCACTTACGTCATGGCGGTAGCTTGCAGGTAGCAAGTAAACCAAGAGAGGACGGTAGGGGTCAATCTTGAGTCCCCAATCCATTGCCCATCCTCGATGGCTGCCTCCCTGCTCGCAAGCGTTCAATACACCAGCCCTCTCCTCTCCCTCCTCCTCCTCCTCCTCCTCCTACCTGAATGATGGCAAACTCATTAAAGACATTACCCTTGGTAAGCTCTGCCATCAGAAGATTGTGCTGAAAGATTGTCAGAACGGAGAGAGGAAGAGAAAAATTGAATGAAACTCACATGTTGCTGGGAAAGCACATCCAGTGCAATCTCTCCAAAGAGAAAAGGGCTAAACTGCCCAATAGGCGAAACATGCATCTAATACAGGCACAACAGCATCAGCCACGACTTGGAGATTCATCGAAATGGTACATGCTGGAATGTAGCTGGAAAGCTTGTGACAAAGTCCCACTTCGCCTTCAAACAAGAGTCAAAGGACGATCAAACTATTGAGCAACAACTGAGTTTTGGCATACCATGTCCATGGATGAGTCCATCATATTGAACTTAGCAGGATCAGCATTCTCCAACATCAACTTGAGATGGAAATGCTCGAAAGGTTGACCTACGAGTCAGATATTATCCCTACTACCTCGTCCTCAACTCAAGTTTTGCTCACATTTTGGGAGTCCCTGGAGGCTGGGCAGACCGCAGCTCAACGATCTGTTCTCCATCATGAGACGTAGTCCAGGGGGAAGAATGTCTGCCATGAAGCCAACGCAGCAGCCGCTGCTCGTCATCATGCTCAATGCCGTCTTGCATATTCAAAGTCAGATTAAAACTCCTAGGTTGTAGACAAACCTTGCATTCATTGGTGCAATTTCCACCATCCATGTAATCCATGTAGTTGTAAGAGGAGGTGTCAAATGGATCTGGAGGAAACCCGCAAGCTGCCGCTATGTCTGAAACCATGTGCCCTCCATTCAAAAAGGTCTCAATGCAATATTTGGAGTTCTCATCTGCAGATAATACGAATCAACACGATGTGCTATGAGATTGAGTGAGGATTGTTACCCATGAAGCAACCATCGTTTGCGACCATCTTCATGAGCGGGCTCGAAGATTCTTGCGGGTCATATGTAATGAATTGCATCATCTGGCATGGCATCAGTAAAAAAGTAAAGCACGCGAACAAGTTTCAAGGTATTTGAAGGAGCAAGACTCAAATAACATCTGACTGACCTTCATGCCACAGGACGAGCAAAGCAGCTGAGTCCTAGAATACATCGTCTCTGTCGAGTCCTCTGACAATGCGGAGCCAATCTGATGGAGAGTGCAGGTGTGGCACAGATCGAACATGTTTGAGAGAACTTGTCCCTCCGCAGATCCAGACATGAAGTCAATCTCGTGATACAGGTTGTGATACACTCTTGAAAAGCAGGAATCACAAACGTCCTGCACACGTTCTTGTCAGACACCAGCCCATCAAAGTTGTCTTGAGTAGCACCTGTGTACTTGTATTCGACATTGGAGCCGACACGTTGCCGAACACTTGGTCCAGACATCCATTGAAGGTCGTGTCGGTGCACATGGAGTTTACAAACCTGAGTTTGTTACAGTCCATAAGTTTCAAGTTTGTCATCTGATCCTGAGAGAGTCCCTGGATCTCGCTGATGAGCGGCTGCATGCAAGCGCACAACGCATTCCGCTGAGCAGGGTTCGCCGGATCGAGCTCCATCAGGCTGCAGTTTGCAAAGAGGCTGTCAGCCATCATCATGTAGCTGTTTTGTGCCGGATTGCATGGATCATTGTATATGTTTCGCAGCTTTGCATTGCTGTTTCCCTGAGGCTTCAATGCACGAATCTCATTCTTGGAACTGCTTCCAAGCAGCTGCTTTATTCCCTTCTCCAACAAGTCGACGACACGGGCATATTGTCTCTGAGTGTTCAGAGGTTGCAAAGTGAAGGATGAGGACACCTTTTTTGCTCTTCCGGTTGCTTTGAAGCCGTGGAAGCTAGAGCTTCAACGGCGAGCAGAGTCAGGAGCAGGAGACCAGAAAGCCTAAAGCTGCTTGCGTACATCGGTACGGTAGGGATTCCCCTGCGTTCTCGGACAGTATAGAAGTGTGTAGATATTCAGGACAGAGGATCTCGTCTGGTTCTGGAAAGGAGGAGGACGGAGGGGCCCGGGGAAGGAGGAAGGGATGTGGAGTTGGGAGGGGGGGGGGGGAGCGGCGGAGGGAAGGGGCGCGAGGGACACGGAAGCGGGGGAGAGATCTGGACAAAGGGTGCAGTATGTGTACCCTACCCCATACATGTAGCTTACTGTACCCTACCCTGCTGAACATTGCTCTTGAGCAGAGGGACAGCCCGGTACTTTAAGTACTTTTGAGAACCCCTACCCCTCATATATCTGTTTTCAATGGAATCGCACCCACCCCTGGTAAAAAAAATGGTAATTTGAACCCACGTAAATGACTAGAACTGTACCGGTAGATTCAACAAAAAAATGACCCCCACCCCATCTTGAGTACATGATGAGACCACCAATCTGATTCCCTTCGTGGCTGCCAGGCGCGGTTGGGAGATAGACCTATCTAAAAAAAGTCAATCAAAACATTTATAAAGACTAGTACAAGTAAAGGGGGAAATTTTGGTACCGCTGACCAGATACGCAGTACCAGGAAACTCTATGGTACAACTTAGTACTGAGATTCTTCGTACAAGGGGTCGCTTCTACTACGATGATGACAGAGCTTTACCAATTAAAAATAGTTTTTGACATCGGTTGGATGAGGAGAGTTTGCCCCATCGCTCCCTCGAAAGTCCCAGGGCCCCGCCCGTGACCGGCCGGACTGATCGGACCCGGTCCTACTACTCAAAGTTAAGTTAAAAATCAGTACGTCAATGACCACCACCGTCAGCCCGACTCAGCCGCCGTCCGACGGTCATGCCAGGCCCGGGGGGGGCGCTTGACGGACGGTCCGGCGGGAGCCGGAGTCCACTAACGGTAGTACCGTACGGGCCAGCCTGTTAGCCGCTGAGCCCTTTTACTTCCGCCGGGAGGAGCCTCCAGCCTCCATTGACACGGCGTGATCGGACCGTCTGACGGTTGGTTCAACCTGCCAATGAGGGCCTAACTTTACTGCCCGCCGGGGGCCCGGGGGGCGGGGAGGGGCACTGCCGGTGGCTAGGCTCCACCGAGCGGCGGGGAGGGCCGGGCCGGGCAGCCGCCCCCACTGGGCCACAGTGACTCCGAGGCTGTGAGTCCGATCCCGGCGGCCCGGCGGGCGGCCCCGGCCCCGGGGCCCCCGGCGCGCCCGGGGCTCCCGGCCGGCCGCCGACGGTGCCGCCGGCCGGGCCGGGCCGGAGCCTGTGCCGGCCGGGCCCCCCCCGGGGCGTCCGACTGTACGGTCACTGAGGCTCAGAACGGTACGGTAACGGTAAAGCGGCTCCGTGCTGTCACAGTGACTTTAAAAAGACCGTGTGACTCGCCGACTCGAACTCAGCCTACGGTTTTTACTCAAAGTTAAGTGAGTTTTATTCTACTACTAGCCTAGTAAGAGGACTCTAGCTTTACTCAAACTTTAGTTAAAGATCAGTACGAGCTAGTAACAGCCCAGTACGGTACTTCACTTGGAAAGACTAAAACTAGTAAAGACCGGCCCACCGTGACTGAACTCGCCTCACTTGGATAATAGTCCAAAATCAGAGGACAGAAAGTTTTGCATTTCACAGATCTCTAAATAGCCTTTCTGCCTTTCCTGGCTGCTTTGCCGGGATGCGCACCTGCTATCGTGGCAATTTTTCTCCTCCTGCTCCTCCTCCTGCTGCTGCTGCTGCTCCTCCTCCTGCTCCTCCTGCTCCTCCTGCTCCTCCTCCTCATTCTTCTTCTTCTCTCACTCAATCTTGTGAGCTGCCTAGTACATCTCTGCTCTCCGATCTCTTTCATTTCCTCCGTCCTCTGTCTTTCCGACGCTGTCCTCTCTCCTCGTTTCCATATCTCCACCTGCTCCTCTGCCTCCTCTCCTGTTCTCCTCATCCAGCATCTGCTTTCCATCCTCTAGTCCCTTCACCGCATCCCGCCCGTCTCCCCGTTCTCATCGGAGCAAGACATCAGTACAGGGCTAGCGTGACGAGAAGGACAGCTTGCAACATGGCATTTCGATCTCAACAGCTCAGAACGAACACGATCTCTAAGGTTGTAGACACCTTGCCATCGCTCGTGTTACTCTCCTGCACTCTCCTGTGTGGGCAGTGGGTATGGCGGATTGTGTTTGCAACCCTCTTCGTCTTCTCTGCTCCAAGGATCTTTCGCGCTCCTCCACCAGATCCCGAATACATCCTGAAGCATGCGCCTCCTACCTCTTGCACGGAGAGCAGCGCGGCAAAGACGAGGGCTGGCGTGTCCAGGAGGCAGCTGGAGAATGCGATCAAGGAGGTGATGGAGCGACAGATCAGGAGGGGATCGCAGATCGGCCTGTCTGTGTCCGTCTATCTGCATGGGGAGGAGGTAGCCTCTGTGTGTGGAGGGATGTGCAGGACTCTGCGAGGGGGAGAGCGATGGAAGCCGGTTACCAAAGACACGATCTTCATGTCTTACAGTGTGTGCAAGGGTGTATCAGCGACAGCGCTCCTGACGTGTGTAGACAGAGGAGAGTGCGAGTTCGATCAGCATGTGACGGACATCTGGCCAGAGTTTGGGCAGGGAGGGAAGGAGGAGGTGTCTATCTCCGATGCTGTCTCCCACAGGGCTGGGATGACGGGGATCGGGCTGGGTGTAGTGATGACGCACCTTGCTGCTCCTATCACGGGGTGGAGGAGAGCGTGGGAGGCAGGGCTGGCGTACATAGAGAGGTACAGGCCTGAATGGGAGCCTGGGAGCCTAGCAAGTTACCACTACGTCTCTTTCTCGTGGATTATTGGAGGGATCGTGGAACGAGCAGCGAAGTTACACATCCATGACGTTGTGCTGTCGAGGATTGCGAAAGTTCTCAAGGTGGAAGGGGAGATGTATCTTGGTCTGCTGCCTGTGGATAAGGAGAGCAGGACTGCGATGTTGGAATATCCTCCGCGTCCTTTCTTTCAGAACCGTCCTGTTGCTTCGTTCAGGGATCTTGTGCGATGGTTTGTTGCAGTGTTTGAGACCAAGGTGTTTGCCGGGATTGGGAATTCCTACATCTGGAGAAACCTTTGCCTGCCAAGCTCAAATGGATTCTTCACGTCTTACTCTGTCGGTGAGATGACTTGAGTTGTGAAGTTTACAGTGTTATGGGAAACCAGAAGGTAGAAGAGAGTTTCATGGAATTGAAGGAGGAAGACAACGAGTTGTAGCTATTGCACGCATGAACATAGACAAGAGTCCTATAGATTGTGCATACCGTACATCTTACAGGATGTGTTGCAGCAAAGATGTATGGAGCGCTTGCAAATAAGGGAAGCTTGTCGGACGGAACGACCCTTGCAAGATCTGAGACAGTCGACAAGCTTGTGAGACATTTTGTGTGATGTCTTTTCTCTGTTGACAAGTTTCACAGGTCAAAGATTGCAGCAACACCTGCCCGAATGTGAGCGAGAAGTCAAAGAAAGGACCCGCAATGAGAAGGTATGTGTCGTGCGCCTCACAACCTTGTAGTCAGATCGCAACTGATGATGTTGATTCGTAGCAATGGTTTCAATCCCTGGAGGAATGAAGCGATAGCAGGGCCAGATGATGGTCTCTTGTTGGTTCACAGCGGGATGGGGGGATGTCTAGGTGATGATGATGAGAATGATGATGATGATGGAGGAGGAGGAGGAGGAGGAGGAGGAGGAGGAGGAGGAGGAGGAGGAGGAGGAGGAGAGCAGAAGAAGCAGAAGCAGAAGCAGAAGCAGAAGCAGAAGCAGAAGCAGAAGCAGATGATGATGATGATGATGATGATGATGATGATGATGATGATGATGATGATGGAGGAGGAGATATTGATGACGATAATGATGATAGAGGTGGTGGTGGTGATGGTGGTGGTGGTGATGATAATGATGATGATGATGATGATGATGATGATGGAAAGGATGGAGACGGGAGAAATAAAGGTGACGAGGACATGGAAAGGAAGAAGACTCTTGTGGAGCAGAATCAGCTTTCATTAGAGCAGTTATCGCGAATGGAAAGCTGACAACTCCACAGGTTTCGGTGAACCGTCATCAGGATTGTCGGTGGCGATCTTGAAGAACAGCTACGAGTCTTATCTGTTTGTGAGTTTCTTCTCCTTGCACTTAAAATCAAATTTTGAAATCTCCCGCCATCCAGCATCAGGAGTCGGTAACCCCGGACACGGTAGAGCTGGTGCAGGCTATCAGGCGGGAACTTCGGCAGTGAGCGAAGTTGAAGGGAGCATGAAGCGTGGAGTGGAACATGAAACGTGTTCGAAATGTGTTCTTGAGTTCATGATTGCTCGGAGAAGATTTCAAACTCTAGCGACGATGATTTCAAACTCTAGTGATGATTGCTCGAAAGAAGCCTCCTGCCCCCACCTGCTCAGCCCTCAGCGTCAACATGAGTAGAGGATGGGAAAAGGCGGCAGACCGGGCGGGAGGAAACGACCTGAAGCCCCGCCTGAGAAGCGAGGTCGACGGGATCCTGCCAGATGGTAAGAGAATGGGGCCAGACGGGAGGATGGAAGGGGAATATGACTAGGAAGGGAGGGAGGGAGGGAGAGAGGGAGGGAGGGAGGAGGAGGAGGACAAGGAGGAGGAGGACAAGGAGGAGGAGGACAAGGAGGAGGAGGAGGAAGGTGTATGAGAAGCAACAACACACATAATCAATGGATAGCAACTACATAAATCAAGAAACAAGAACAAGACTGAGGAGGAGGCGGTGTTGACATGGCAGGTAACAGATGTGAATGCGTGTAAGCGAAAATTTTAGGGACGAACGTCAGTGACTTCCGCTTTTCTTCACCTGATCGTAAAACAACCCTTGCCACCCATCTTTGCTACCATGGGAGAAGTGAGCTTCTGATAGGATGCAAACACCTTGTTGTCTGATAACAAGATGTCAAGAACACCTCACACAAGACATGTTGCATCACCGCTGATTGAGTTTTCCAAGAGAAGGATAGTTCCTCCCGGTTTGCAAACTCTCTTCATTTCTCTCAGCTGTGTTGGACAATCACCAGAATAACAAGTGAATACAAGAAACACACAGAACTCGATCCCAACAATCTTCCTCTCAAATTGCAAAGACAACATCACATCAAAGAGCATGACAATGAGAATTTTGAATTTCGACAACACAACAAGTGAATATACAGACAGTGACTATCTTATCTTCATCACCGCTTGTACAGGATCGGAGAAGACACAGAGTCCAAATGTGTCGATGACCGTGTCGAACTTTGCGTCAGGGAAATCAAGTTTCTGGACCTGTGAACTCTGTCAAGAAGAATCGATAGAGACAGGACATGAAAAAGCTCCTCTCCAAGCACTCTTGCATGAAACTGTTTGATTCTAACACGTTCGACTTATCAAAGAGCAAATCTCAACATACATTCATCTCGTAGAGCGTGAAACGATCTTTGAATGGTAGTGCTTGACGTTTGCTGCGAGCCTGGAGTATCGAAAATAAGTTGAGATCACAAGCAGGGGAGGGAGGGAGGAGGTCGGTAAAGAGCGAAACCGAAGGACAGGACAGGGGAGTGGAGGAAAAGAGGAAGAAGGGAGGAGAGGAGGAGGAGAAAGGACAGGGGAAATCTGGCGGACGGATGAGGAAAGGGAAAGAGAGGAGAGGAGGAGGAGAGGAGGGGAGAGGAGAGGAGGGAGAGGAGGAGGGAGGAGGAGGAGGAGGAGAGGAGGAAGGTGAGGAGAGGAGAGCGAGGTGAGGAGAGGAGAGGAGAGGAGAGGAAGGGAGGAGAGGAGAGGAGAGGAGAGAGTGAGAG